CAGAGGTTTTGTTTAAAAAAGAAAGGAAAAAGAGAAAAGAATATAGATATGATATAGATCACTGAATCTATTTTGAGAAAAAAGATAAAGAATAATAGAATAAATGGGTAGATCACTGAATCTGGTTTTTACCAGATTTAAAAATTTTTTACATTTTTTTAAAAATTTTTATCAGATTTAAAAAATCTGATCACTGGGTAGAGAAAGAGGAAGATATAAAAATGACAAAAGATAGATTACTGAATCTATTATGAAAAGAAAAAATACTTTTATAAAGGAATTACTTGTTTTAAATAAGATAAGTAACGAAAATTTTTTGTCTGAATTTGTCAAATGTTACTGGACTCGACATTATTATATATTAATGGAGTTTTTTGTCTGAATCTGTCAAATGTTAATGGATTAGACATCGTCAATGTAATCTTGACTGTGTATATTGTATATACTTATTGGACATAATTTTTCTTGTATTAGTTATAAGCTTTTTTTAATTTTAGACATAAAAGGGGAAATGTGGTAGTATTGTGTTCCCCAAAATATTGCACACCCTAATAAACTTATCTAGAGTCAGAGACAGAACAGTCACTAGATACAAAGGCTAGAAAATGGTGGCACTCACACCTTCAATCCTAGCACTCCAGACGTAGAAATCTCTGGCCAGAGGTTTGATTTTATTAATAAGACTCTTTAAGATTCCTGCTACAATATTTATTTATGTTCGATAATTCTTTTGAAATGTTAATTTTCTGACACTCTTTATAACTTAGTGCAGCAATAAACCACCACCCAGGCAAAAAAATGTTTGTAGTTTGTCTACCAGCATTTAGATAAAGCATTTCCAAATTATCCACTGAAATTTATATCATCACTTTTACTTATTAAAAACAAACAAATACTTATTACAATATCCTATAATTGGTCAACAGTCTATCAGGCTCCACATTGCTTTTAAAATACTTTATGCATCCTTAGGAATACTGCATGTTTTTAGTTGCTTTAAGCAACTTAGCTAGTGATAAAATATTTACCCCACCACTAGTCACAATCTATCCATTCAATATAAATTTTAACCAAATCCTTTAAGTAGGCAAACACTGTAGTAATGAAATATGAAATCCAAAAGAAGAGTCTCATGTAATTTTTAGAGGTATTTGAGAGAAAAGCGTGTTTCAATTCTTCTACAGCCAGCAGGGATATGTATCCTGATGAGGACTCCACCTCAATCGATTAGCTTAATTTTGGTTGAGTGACAGAATCATACATGATGCAAATAAGACATTCTCAAAGAACATAACCAACTTGAAAGGGAGCTACTAATGGATTTTGAAATTCTAGCAAACTTGTTTAGAGTTTCCTACTGATCTTCAAGGGGCTTTCCTTGAAGATATGATATGACTACAGTGCACCCAGACAGGGGTTTCTCAAGCAAAAAAAAAAAAATGAAACAATAAAAATGCACAGGTTGCAATGCTTTAATATTGTTGGATTTACATAGTTTATATAGTTAATCTTGTGGTGTGGACAGAAATAAGATTTCAATGATTTTTTCCCATTACTACCACTGTGCTATATAAGAGTAATTGGACCTAAGTATACAGTTCTGAGTAGATTGTGAAGAAGGGGAATGCTTCAGTGCAAAGACTGATTGATTTCTAAAACTCTTTAGATAGATAGATGGTAGATAGATAGATAGATAGATAGATAGATAGATAGATAGATGATTGATAGATGATAGATGATAGACAGATATATACATAGATGATAGATACATAGATAGATAGATAGATAGATAGATAGATAGATAGATAGATAGATAGATGATAGATAGATCGATAGATGATAGATAGATGATAGATGATATATGAATAGATAGATAGAAGACAGACAGATGATAGATGATAAGTAGATAGATAGATGATTGATAGATAACAGATACATAGATACACATATAAATACATAAATACATAGACAGATATTAATCACTTTCTAACTTTAGGTTCATTAATATTGCTAGAAAACTCCCAGACTCAGGTGTATGCACAATGCTTAGTGATTTTGCTTCATATGTCCTCCCTTTCCTTAATACAGTAATGATTATTGTCAATAACAGTAAAACAAAAATAATATCTGTTTAAACCAGTTATTTTCATTTATTTATTTATTTATTTTAATTTTTATTTTTATTTTGCAATACAATTCAGTTCTACATATCAGCCAGGGATTCCCTTGTTCTCCTCCCTCTGGTCCCCCTCACCTTCCCCCCAGCCCACCCCCCATTCCCACCTCCTCCAGGGCAAAGCCTCCCTTGCGACTGAGATCAAGAACACATCAAAACAATTATCCACAATGAACAAGTAGGCTTCATTCCAGGGATGCAAGGGTGGTTCAACATACGAAAGTCCGTCAATGTAATACACCATATAAACAAACTCAAAGAAAAAAACCACGTGATCATCTCACTAGATGCAGAAAAGGCATTTGACAAAATCCAACACCCCTTCATGATAAAGGTCTTGCAGCGATCAGGAAATACAGGGAACATACCTAAACATAATAAAGGCAATTTACAGCAAGCCAACAGCCAACATCAAATTAAATGGAGAGAAACTCAAAGCAATTCCACTAAAATCAGGAATGAGGCAAGGCTGTCCCCTCTCCCCATACTTACTCAATATAGTACTTGAAGTTCTAGCCAGAGCAATAAGACAACATAAGGAGATTATGGGGATACAAATTTGAAAGGAAGAAGTCAAGCTTTCCCTGTTTGCAGATGACATGATAGTATACTTGAGCGACCCGAAAGATTCCACCAAGGAACTGATACAGCTTATAAACACCTTCAGCAACATAGCAGGATACAAGATCAACTCAAAAAAATCAGTAGCCCTCCTATATACAATGGACAAAGAAGCTGAGAAGGAAATCAGAGATACATCACCATTTACAATAGCCACAAATGCCATAAAATACCTTGGGGTAACACTAACCAAACAAGTGAAGGACCTATATGACAAGAACTTTAAGTCCTTGAAAAAAGAAATTGAAGAAGATGTCAGAAAATAGAAAGATCTCCCATGCTCATGGATAGGCAGGACTAACATAGTAAAAATGGCAATCTTACCAAAAGCAATATACAGATTCAATGCAATTCCCATCAAAATACCAACACAATTCTTCACAGACCTGGAAAGAATAATACTCAACTTCATATGGAAAAACAAAAAACCCAGGATAGCCAAAAGAATCCTGTACAATAACACAACCTCTGAAGGTATTTTCATTTTTGTTTGAGCTTTGTGCATTTGAAAAATTATGTTTAACACATGACCAAGATGAACACAAATTGTCTGAGAAAAATATTTGACTTGTTCAATTACTTTCAATAATCGAATTTCTGATTGCTTTGCAGTATTGAGTAAAAACAGTGAAGAACTGTTTCTCTTTAGTAATGATATTTTGTGTAATTGTTTCTACCAGTCTACATGTCTTGCTGGAGGAAAATTAGTAAGATGCTATTTGAGCCATCTATATCTTGAGAAAAAAGAATGTGGACACTAAATTTTAGGAAAAAAAACCTGTGCTCTTTATATACAGTAAGGTGATATTTTATTAATAGATATGTTTTCATTCTTAAGTTATATTAAAATTATTAAAGGCAAAAGGTAGCTATCACCAGTAAGATATGTGACAATGATTGTGGTAGCTTGTGTGACAAAATTCCTGATGTAATCAACTTAGAAAAAAGGATGATTTTGACTTACAGTTTCAGAGCTTTTAGCCTAGGGTCATTGGTACATTTTGATTTTGGTCTGTGCAGGACCGCACATTGTGACAAGAGTTTGTGGCACAGCAGGGTATTTCCTCACAATAGCTATAACCAAAGGAGAGACTGAAAGTGCCAGACATGTTTTAGATGATGTGAATTTCTCCATGTAGGTCACACTTCTTAAAAGATCTACTTCCTTCCATGGAGCATGAGAACTAAGCATTTAATGTGTGGCTGATTGGGGAACTATTCAGATCCCAAATTTAAGAGTGAATATAACTTCTAATTAATTTGAATTCTTGCAAGAAATTTACAACAAAATAACCCCCGTAAAGCTTGAAATCTTAACATGTACTGCATAAAACTTTGCTGTGTGTATTTTTGTCTTGTAGACTTAATTGTTTAAATTTAAGTTTTGTTCTCCAAAAGTTTAGTAGTTTTTGACACACACATAAAACAAATTCTGTGAAATAAATATGCAGCTTCAATCTCTACTTTTATGAATTTCCCACAAGGTTATATAATTTATGAAACAAAATATTTGAAAGCTGAAGATGTATATTTCAGTGATAGTGTGCTTGCCTAGAATTATGAAAACCTGTGTCCTATTTCTACAACCATAGAAAAAATGAAACTTGGAAATTTTCATATTGTAGATGTATCTATCAGGGCTAGCTCCAGAACTCTGCCTAAGGAACTTATACATTAGACTTAATTAATACAAATTAATCTGTTAAAGGATGTGCATGGATAATATGTGCTTTGATTTCCAACCTTTTAAAAATATGGTTATATTTATTAACTTTATGATTTCTTTTATTTATGTGCATATACATGAAAAAGTCATAATACTGTAGGCCTAGGGTGCAAATATTTCCCTTATTTCCTTTCAAAGCTTATAGTTTTCTAGAGAAGACCAATTTCATTGGTTTATTTTTCCCTTAAATTTCCTCAAAGGAGCAAAATTTTGAAGACAGTGTTATGTTACTCATATGAATGCTATTTGGTATAGGATAACCAATTGGTGTGCTCTTCCCTGGGGAAAATTATTTCTCCTACCCTCAGTATTCTTTGGTAAGCTGTAGTTATTTGTGTAGGCTTGTGGGCCTTCCCCCACCCACTCTAGCGTGTCTTATTATCACTGTTCAGTTCATGTTTAGACAGCCATGTTCTTGAGACTTTGTTGGTGTAGCTTCTGCAATTACGAGGGGACAGGGTCTCACGGCAAACTTACTGATTTCATGGCTCTTATAACTTTTGCACCTTCCCTTCTTCAATGCCCTCTGAGCCTTAGGTGTGGGAGCTGTTTCACAGATGCATCCTTTGAAGCTGGCACCACAACTTGTCATTTTGATTGGTAGTGGTTCTCTGTTGGAGGCTAAGAAAAGTTGACCAATAGAGCATGAGGAAATTTTACTATTTACAGCATAGATAGAATTGGAGAATATTTTATACAAATTAATATTAAAATCAAAAGCTGAAAAACAAATACTGATTTTTTTTCCACAAAGGGTGGGTAGTACTTCAGATAAATATATATATAAATTCTGTTGTTGATAGCAACATTATTGGTATTGTCATTAGGTGGAGATAATAAAAGACCTTTCTAGAATCATGGATATCACTAGATCCTTTGTCGCATATATCTCTTAGATTTTAGGGGCTGTATCTTAGCTGTATAATGTTAAGTTGCACAGAAAATGTTTTATCTTTTATCTTGTTTAGAATCCAGTATCTTAAGCGGTGAATGGTGGTAGACACCTGTAACCAATGGTGGTACACACCTATAATCCCACAATAGAGAATCTGAAAAAAAGAGGATTTTGAGTTTGACTCCAACCTAGGCTATATAGCATGCTCTAGGCCAGCCTTGGCTACAGGACAATACTCTGCTGTCCAAACAAACAAATAAACAAAATACACAAAAATTGAATTCCCAGTCTCACTGATAGTCCCAAATTTCCTTCACCACAAATTTCTTCTCTCATTTTTATTTTTAAACAAACACAGCAGCAGTGGAGAGGTGCTTCCTAGAGAAAAATGATGAGCCCTGGCAAGACACAGGCCCTCTGTGGGACACAGACTACAAATCTGAATGATTTTCTTCTAAAGTAAACCAATACTTGACCACAAACTGAATTATGAAACTGTACAGTAATTCAGCCGCAAATAAATTTCTACTGCTTACTGGGAGTGAATTGCTCAGTTAACACCCATGGGAAAACAGACAAATATGTAATGCCAGTGTTATACTAAAATAACATATTTTTCTCTCTGAAGAGATGGCACAAAGGCATACAAAACTAAATAATAATAAAAAGACAGGCATACTTAGGAAGATATCAGATGGATATGAAGAGCTGAAAACAGGCAATAGCTTTCTAAACTGTGGCCCCTACATAGCTTAAGACTTGTGGATAATTCTTTGATGGGATTGGGGCTATACTTGGTCTCTGTAGAAGAGTATTGATTTTGTGTGTGTGTGTGTATGTGTGTGTGTGTGTGTGTGTGTGTGTGTGTGTGTGTGTGTGAGAGAGAGAGAGAGAGAGAGAGAGAGAGAGAGAGAGAGAGAGAGAGAGAGGTGGGGAAAGGTATCAGAGGAAGAAACATTTCAGATTCAAGTTGAGGAACAATCTAGAATAACTAGGCTGGGTAAAACAATGTACAATATGTCTTCAGAACTTATGTCTAGAAAAGAATTGTAGAAGACAATCTACATGGGCTCAGAAGATCATCATATGCCTTCCTACAGTGACAATCAGCAAGGCCCTCAGAAAGTCTATTCATCACAATATTTTAAAATGTTAATGTTCTATATTTTATTTTATTAACATGAGTGATATTTATTTGCTTCTACTACCCCTGCTTCTAGTATATTTGGTCCTTACATGTCTATTGAAATATCAGTAAAGATGTGTGAAGTAAATAAACAAAAATGTGGAACCAAGTCCTAGAGCCTAGACAATGTGAAATGGTATGATCTAATCTTAAGAGAGGTAGCTGAGTAGCTTTTGGCTTGATCAGCATTCTAGTTTAGGAAGATCAGTCCAGTGAGGTCATGAATTGAAAGCAAGAAAGAGAGGCAAAGGATGTGGAAGACGTGTTGTAGGATACTTAGACAGCATGGAGGAGGACAAGGAGGACGTTAGAGGAAAACAGTAAGAAAAGGAGAGGAAGTTTAAAAATATAAATTAACTGCAGTTATTTTTCATGGTGTGAAAATATGGTAAAGAAGCAAAATATAACCTCAAAGTTATAAAATTTTGAAGCTATAATTGTTGTAGCCATAATAATCAGAAAAAGGAAAAGACAGCTTTTTGATACAAAATTAGGCATTTTCTAAATTAATAACAATCCCTAAACCCTGGAGACAGGAAACTCACAGAACAAGAAGCAGGATCAATATTGATAACAAACACAAAATTCTATAAAAATGTAAAATCACATGTGTGGTAATATTTTAATTGTGCTGAAATACGATTTTATTTGTATGTTAATAAAGTTTGCCTGGAGATCAGAGGTCACATAGCGAGGTCACATAGAGAGCCATAAGCAGAAGTCTGGCGGTGGTAGCACACACCTGTAATCTGATCACATGGCAGGCAAAGTCTGTGGTCAAGGACACAGCCAAGCATGATGACACAAGCCTTAATCCTAGTACCAACCATCGAGACTTGGAGGTCTGTATAGACAGACAGTGACGAGGAAGTCTTGTGGCTGGGCTTAGAGTCAATGGAAGACAGAACAGAAAAGCAATAAAAACACAAGTCGCACAGGAAGAAGCTCTCTCGTGTGGGAAACTACGGCTTGGTGGTAAACTAAAGGGCAATCAGTGGCTCTTCGCTAATTCTCTGATTTCTTTGGCTATTACCTCTGTATTTGGCTCTGTATTTCTTATTTACTAAGACTGTTTAGAATTTCGTCTACACACATGGACATATTATATCAAAGTTCAGAAAACCAGTGTAGGGCAGAAAATCATGAACTCTATTTTGTTAAATATTAGAAAAGATACAGCTAACTATTTCATATTTCTATTTGTATTAGATGTCTTTTTCCATCTTTTTACTTTCAGGGGGTATTTTATAGTCAGTAGTAAGGTGTGTTTCTTGGGAGCAAATGGATTTTTGTCATGGGCAACACTGCAAATGGAGAGACTTATTTTATTTTTAAATGTGCTGAGACTCTTTGTGAGTGTTCATTCTAAATAGGGCGTCTTTACCAATGACCTTGGTAAGGGTCTGGGGACATCACAGAAGAGGAAGGATGAGAAAGGCAAGAGCCAGAGGATGGAAACGTGTCTGTGAAGTGCTGTCTTCTGGACATGACACAGTCACTGTAGTTATCTGAACAAGATTAAGACATCCAAAGTTCCAGCACAGATAGGGAAGGCATTCCCAAGACCCCACCCCTAACAAAACAGCAGTTTAGGTGCTGGGGAGGAAGTGCAATTCTTCTTTGGGGGGATTTAGTAGTGGATGTCTAGTGGATGTGTCCAGTGTCCGGCAGATGGTTTCATAGTTATGTACAAATTGTCAGTACTATTTGCATTAAATGGATTAATGAAAAAGAAGACACAGAGTTTAGATAGGGGTGTGTTAGGAGCATCTGAGGGAAGTTGAGGAGGAGAAACAGGAAGCTGGATTTAATTATTTTTCATTGTATACATGTATGAATCCTTAAAGAATAAATGTTCGAATTTAATAAAAAAGAATATAATACATACACATAGACACATACAGAAAAATAAAATATTTAAACAGTTTTAATGTGCATTCATTTGTCTTCTGAGTATAACATTATATTATCTATCATCTATTTATCTACTAATCTATCTTCTATCTATGTATCTAAGACGACTCAATTAAGCTCTCAAATATCAGTTTTGACATAGAATGGAAGCTACCTTCTTCTGTTCTTAAGTATTTCCATGACTGCAAAGATAACTCGGGAAAGAAATTTACCAATTTTAGAAAACCATGCATACAATATAACTATTCCTAAAGAAAGCCTAAAATATACATAATTGGCTTAGTGTTTTTTCCATAAAACTTGAGGTTCAATTTTATCATCTGAAATAGGAAAATCCATGTTTCCTATTTCAAATAAAAAATTTACACAGAGAAACAGACTGTTTACTGAAATTTTTACATCTTCTTTCTAGATGACCCCAAAGATCCAGCCTCCTTGCCTTCAAAATACACCATATCTTGTCAAATAGACAGTACTTTTATCTGAGAAATATGATATGGTCCACTATTGCCAGACATGATCTTCTAGAGACGTCTCAAACCCTGCATGAGTACCCAAAGGTCTTGATAATTGCTTCTGAAGAAAACTTGCCAATTTAGGTAGAGAAAAACTTCACAAAATAGTGAATAAATATCAAATCAGATATTAAAGTAAAAATAAGAATTTGCATTATTCATATAAAAAATCATTCAAAAGATAGCTATCACAATTCTAGTAGCAAATGAATTGATTAATGGTACATATGTTTTAACAACAAAGTCAGGCCTTTAGAATACCCCACTATACTTTTGGAGGAAAATATTATTTATGAAGTCTTCAAGTAGTCACAGTTTGAGGTCCCAAGTAACATGTAACATATAAAGGTAAGTTTTGGTCCAGTTAAAAATGTAAATCCTGGGCCGGGCGGTGGTGGCGCACACCTTTAATCCCAGCACTCGGGAGGCAGAGGCAGGCGGATCTCTGTGAGTTCGAGGCCAGCCTGGGCTACCAAGTGAGTCCCAGGAAAGGCGCAAAGCTACACAGAGAAACCCTGTCTCGAAAAACCAAAAAAAAAAAAAAAAAAGTAAATCCTTTTTCATTTTAAGCAAATTACTATGAAAAATTTATTATTATAGCTCGTTATTCACAATAATATAATTTGTGTTAGTAGTTAAACTCTATCTTAATGGACAGTCATATCTCATTACTGGTAAAACTTTAGAATTAATGGAAATGTGATGCAATCTTTATACATGCAAAATTAGTCCTAGGGTTGTAAAAGTAGCAACTAAAAATATGAATTGTAGAATTAATGTCATTAATATAAAATGTATTTTTCTATGTTTTATAAATACATCAAGAATTCTATTAATGAGGAAATTTCTCCAAGTATGATTTGTGATACCTCTCAAGTATGCGAGGAGGAGAGTAATCTTGCTTCTACAGAGTAAATAAAAAAGGTGGAAAACTACACTGGAGAAAATAAATGAACATAAATTTAATAAATTCTTTCATAACTTTATCTCTAGATCTTAAAATGAAACTATCTTAATTTAATTCCAATTCAAACTCTTGAGTATAAAATTAAATTAACTTACTCTTTGATAATGGGAACAGTTAAACAAAACCTTACATATTTTCTGGATT